TGTTTCCGATTTGAAGCATATAACATATTTTTTTCATAAATTATTATGAAAAGTCGAAACCTCAAACATTCATTTTGTATATTATATTTATTTTACGTTCATTTTTTTAAAAATTTTTTAAGTTTTTTTTTGACGAATTTAGTCATATTTTATGAAGTATTATAGGTTTGTGTTATTGTAGTATCTTAAGACTTTTTAACCTTATTAAAATAAAAAAAAACTTATTATCTAATATAACACACTTAATTCACAGGAATCGTTTGAAAACATAAATTTAACTTAAATTAAATTAAATTAAATTAATTTAACTATCGACAGCCAAACTTGCTGTAAGGGATAATATTTTTTACGAGTTATATGTAATATACTTTAACATAAATTTAACTTAAAGTATATTACATATAACTCGTAAAAAATATTATGCCTTAAAGCAAGTTTGGCTGTCGATAGTTAATTATATGAGTTCCAAAAAAACACTAATCGTTTTAGTTAACAGTTATCATTTGCAAATTTCATAAATATTCTAATGCGTGTTGAACATTTATTTGCTATACATAAGCATTATTATATTTGTATTGCTTTTCTACATCTTAATCGAGTCGTGAAAATGTATTAAAATGTCATTATCCACCAGATAAAGAATGTTCAATGATTCGTTACATCGTATTTCGATAAAAATTTATCGTTGAGTTACGAACGTTATTTGTCGCGCACTCCTCTCAAGCTCGTATCTTTTCCGGAGAAAACCAAGCGATTGCCGAGATCGAAAACGTTCGACATTTAATGCGCGCCCGCGCCTGTGTCATCGTACTTCTTCTTCCATGAGTTCCTTTGCGTTCCGGATGTTGGATATCATATCGGCAATGTCGTTCCTATCAAGGTATGCTCGAAATCATAGGCGTGCGCACAGAGGCAGCAAGGTGTGTTCTTGCTGCCCTTGGATGGTTTGAATATATTTGTAAGGGTCGAACTGGTCCAAGCTGGGCTACCACACCGGTAATTCTCAATATGAAATAAGTTGTTTATCCAAAAAGTGTATTGCTACCAAGCTAATCTTTTCTGTGTTTAAACTTTAAATAGGCTTTGAAGCTTAAATTTGAGCTTAAAAATATTAACTTAATACTCATGTACGGGCTGGTAAAAATATTCGCTGCCCCGACTCGAAACTCTGCGCACGCCTATGCTCGAAATTAATCCATTGATGTTGTACTGTACCAGTCGCGAAGATTCTTCATCCAAGATATTCTTCCGACACTTCTTTTTCCTTCTATCTTTCCTTGTGATATAAGCCGGAGTTGATTATTTCTCGTAATGCGTCCAATGTATTCAAGCTTCCAAGCTTGTATCGTTGTTCATTGTTCCTCCCGTTTGCCCTTCGTTTCCAGTACCCTTTGGTTAGTAACTCGATGTGTCCATGACATTTTTAACACACGCCTATACAACCACATTTCAGAGGCTTCGATTTTTTCGCATGTGAAATATCAAATCAAACCGGTATGTACCAATCGTACGGTCGAAAATGTTTAACCCGCCGCGCGTGCAGTGCGCTGTCGCTGTCGCCGCGCACGCGGCCAGGATTTTTAGCGTGACGAAGAAAGCGGCTTCGGGGACACGATGCGTCACTGGACACTTCGCCGTTACGCAATATTATGGTTTTTTCGTTGGTTTTTTTCCTCTCGTGTTCTCCGGCACCGGTCGCTCGCACCTGTGTTATTATTATTGTTATGGCACGATTGCGTTCGTCCCGCGCTCGAGGCCGAACGAAAAACGACGACCGGCACGCGTGCGGTTCCGGTACATCTGTAGCAACACCGCCGGTGACTCAGAATAATACGCTTATTACGCAACCGCGGTAGTGGTACTGCGACAACCCGGGGTGGCCCGGACTTTCACGCGGCGTGGGCGCGTTCGTCAACACCGCGGTCGGCACCGCACGACCGATCTCGTTCCGATGTCGGAACGGACGTGTAATATATGTAAATAATAGTGCGACGTAGTCGAACACCGCGCGGGGCCAATGCACGCGGTTATATCACGTTGTTATTGTTCTAGCAGTCGGTACGGTTAGCTTACGTTTCCATCCGTCCGTGTACGATCGCGTATGGCTAGGAAATCCGTCGTTCGTTTCCAGTAAATTATGTAACGTTATCACGTGGTACATTCACGTAGCAATACAAAAATGACTCGACAGACGTTTTTTACGTCCTAGCAGCTTTATTATTTATAGTATAGTAGTTATAGTATTTCGTCATCGGTTTCGTATCCTGCGTCGCGATTCGGCGTGTTCGCTGTGTGGTACATACCGCCGAATCGTAAAACGTTTCGATTTCTGATTGGGTTAATTTTCCCTGTTGCTATCGGTTTCAGGGGTATTTTTTTTCAAACATTCCTGTGGCGAAAAGGATAAACAATAATAAAACACGATTTTTGTGAAAATCGATTGATTTTTTTTTTTTTTTAAAGTATTAGGTTACGACCAAACGGTTGGATTAGCGCACAATAATGATATTATATCATAGCGTATAACATTCAATTATTATTGAAAATCATAATAACATGATAACATGTTCGGTATATTATCGACGGTTTTTTACTTTGAATTCGTGAGTAAACTAATAACCGTGATTGTATTGTTCTATCGATTGTTTCAAATCCATCTGAATCCATTTTCGTAGAGACTTTAACGGTTGGCCAGAACAAGATCACGGTTCATAAAAAACATATATAAAATTTTTATAGGATGACATTTCGGGAATACGGTAAATGCTGAATTTATAATAAGCGTTCTGAGATTTGCGGAAATGATTAAGCAAGGCATTTTTCAAACATTTTCAAAAATCCCAGTTCAATATTTAAGTATAATTAGTGGTAAATTTTAGATTTAGAAAATCAATGTAGTGAATGTTAGTTGGAAAATATTAAATAATATATGTTTTCAAATCGGTGATACTTGGGAAGTAATCTTTTCAAAACCTACATTTATAAAAATATATCTATGATTTACTGTATCTTCTTACTCGTATAATATAATCAATTAGGAGGACTAACGCTGTAATGAAGATTGAAAATGAAGAGAAAATTAAACGAAAAATATCGAAAATTAACTTTAATGTAACAACTTTTCAATAAATTGTTGTTATGTATAATTTATTGTTATATAGCATCTTAACATTTATAGTGGCACCGTCGAGTAACCGGTGACACGCTATAATATCGTAAAAGAATATGGTTTAATTTATGATAGATTTAAATTTTATTTTAACTATCATTTTAAAACGAAAGTGTACTTTTATAGTTAAGTATTTGATGAGATTTAAATAGTAGAAAAATGGAAGATAAATATTTTCTAAGAGTGACGGAAAATAAAAGATGAATATGTGTAAATTTATGAATAATTCTAAAAAAAACTAATAATCCGATGAAAGATTAATTGCTATGAGCAACAATTATGTACATAAGCTAGTGAAGAATGTCGAAAATTATTGACTACTATTGCACAGAAGTTGTAAACGCGACTATGAACATTAACTGATTTATACTAGGGGTGGTCAATAAGTCAATCGTGGCATGAGTTCAAGTCGATTGTGACTCCTATTCATTTTTTTTGGATTTTTTCAGAAAATAATTTAAATATTTCTTTTTCTTTTTGTAAATTTTTATATTTTTCTTCAATCCAAGGATATAAGAATTGGATTAATAATAATTAATTAAGTTCATATATGTATTCTTAATATATAGTAATGAATAACTATGAAAAACGAAATAATATACGGAGATTGCTATGTAGGTATATTGTACGTAATTTAATTGATATTTCATATTAATGGTATTTATCGCGTTTGTAAAAATTGATGAAAAATATTCTAAAATACGTGTTTTGTGAAATTGTAAAATTAAAGTTATTCTAACTTATTAATATTGCAAATAGAAGAAATAGAGGAGGCTTTTTTATTGTCGACTGTGACAGCCTAGAAAAACTCAAAAGTCGATCACAAGTCTATAATTGACCATATAGTATAAATAATAGACGCGGGCATCTGATCGGTTATGAATACCCGAGCACTATTTTATTTTCGTTTTATTCTTTTGAATAAATGTGTATAACCAATGCCTACACGTAGTAATATGCATTTTTATGGTATTGTATTGTACATGGTATTATAAGCGTTGCTTAGTATAATTTTATACCATGGTGTTAAATTCGTATACGAATTTTTTTCCACTTACAACCATCAAAGCCAGACGATGGAACATGATCGGTCACACATTGAGGTACGAAAACTATATTGGTTTATAGAATAATATAAGAGAAAATCAAATGTAAGATAGAGACCGGGGACGTGGAAGAACATAATTTGTCGAACAAATAATCTCCGTCGCTAGATTATCAAGCAGCCGATCACACAGAACCGAAAAGGTTAGCAGAAGACGGAGGAGAGCGGAGGATGTACGATTGGAAAACCTATGATAGGGTCCTAACACGAGAAGAAGAACAGGCACGTCGTATAATACGGTGAAGTGCTTTAATGTACGGACAGTGTTAAGGAAAAGTTTGTTTTTTTGTTTTAGCTTAACTATTATTTCAAAATCAATAACATAAAAAGCACGCAGAAAATAATAAATATGAAGAGAACAGAAAAATAACGAACAGAAAAAAATAAAGAACAAAAAAAAAAAAAAAAGAATTAGAACAAATAAACGAATAAACATCAAACGAAATTAGGAACCCAGGGGATCTTATAGAATTTAAAACGCTTAAAACGACTGGAACGGGATTAGAAATGGGAAAGTTTATGATACGCGTATGCCACAAGGTGCGCGTGAACACGGTACGACAAAGGAAAACGATAAAACGCCGTATACGGCTACCCACGCGCGCCGAACACGTGGAAACGCACGGCGGACGGATTACCCAACGCGTTGTTTACGCGGAGGCGCTGCTGGTGCGCGCGCGGCGCGTGCGTCTCGGACCGGTGTTCCGCGACCAATAAAACGACGGACGGCCGACCGGTGCGCGGTCAGTGTCATCCGAACGGTCAACGAACGCGCACGGCTCTCCGAGACCGCACGCACGTCACAACAACGCGGTACCATCGCGGAGCACGTCCGCATAACGGTTGAACAGCCCAGTGGCGAGCATTCCGCCGCGCCCGGACCCTACGGTGAGTGATTTTGTTTTCGTGGCGATCGCCGCGCACCGCAGTTAACTGCTCTCCGTTCAATTCTAATCGCGTTTACCGATATCGTAACGCGTACCGCGCGCGGATCTTTGGGGGTACGGCGATCGGTCGGGTAACGCTTAAAATCGTCAATTTTTCCAACACCATCGAACCACAACGCCCCCGGGGGGGGGGGGGGCGTTAACGGTCGATCGCGTCGCGCTACCCGGCGCACGTGCCACGATTTCCCATTGGATCCGATCGAATCTTGTTCAAACGTTTGATCCGTTCGTTAAGATGTTCGTCAAAATCAATGGGCGTTGACGCTATAAAATATAATATTGATTATTTGTAGTATTTAAAGATTTAATTCCGCTATGGTATTATGGTGCAGATACGTTTAGGGTATGTACCTTCTAAACCACTAAAAATTGAAAACCAACCCAGACACTGAGTCTGTACAATATTATGCTGTGTTAAATACGTTAACGTTTGTTTGTTCTGTTGAAAATTATGATAATAATTCAGTTCCCGTAAACGGGAGTGGGATTATTTCGAGTGACCTAATTTACCGCAATAATAACAACTGTTGCATACAAATTTGAAAAACTGACACCCACGTGGTAGATCAAGTGTATTCATACAATCATTGCATAAATATAAAAGTTTATTTTACGCGCTGAAAAATAAAATATTACAGTGCACTAAGGCTAATATACTATTTCCAATAAAGGTTTAAATCATTTTATGAACAAATAACGAACATATGGTTTGCACGCGTGTTCACCTATAACCGCTACAATAATACAATATTATTATTGTGTGCTGTTACAGTGACTTTAACGCAACGAAAACCGAGGGATGAAGACGAGCCACGAGGTGCTGCCGATGTTGGCGGCGTTGTTACTAGCGTCGTCGGTCGCTAGCCAGTCCATGTCGTTTCCGGACGCGGCCACCGACGCCACGGCTACCACCGTGGAGAACGGTACGGCCACCGGTCGCGATAGCTCCGGCGGCAACAGGAACGGCAAGAACCTGTTCAACTGGCTGGGGAGCTTCGCGGAAGAGGACTCGGACCCGTACCTGTCGTCGGCCAACGGCGCCTGTCTGCAGGGCGATATGACCGAGTGCTTCAAGGCGCGCGCCCTGTCCGGCCTCGATGATTTTTTCGTGCGTGACTCGTACCGGCTCAACGACCACGTGCGGGTCATCCGGCTGCAGGGCGACAACGATGGTCGCTCGTCCAGGGCGTTCGAGTTCTCGACGGACCAGCGTCCTGAAGACACCGAGTGGGACAGGCTGGTCAAGTTCGCCATGCGCAAGGTCGAACGGTTCCTGCGATCCACCGCGGTCGAGGTCCAGGTGCCCGACGAGCTCACCGAGGGCGGACGGTACTCGCCCAGGTTCATTGACGAGATATCCTCCGAGCTGGACACGCTCGAAGACAAGAAAGCCAGCATCATCAGTGAGTACCATAGTACAATATAAATGATTATAAAAATAACGATCTAATGTCCAGAAGGCAAGTGATATAACGATATATTTTAGTAATAAAAGTTGTGATAAAAAGAAAAATTATAGAGGGAGTGAAAAAAAATCCTAAAAATAAAAAATACACAGTTGTATTCATGTAAAAAACATACCGAAATAATTATAATAACAGTTACATCACGGTAAGTGAACATATATTACACAAAGTCTAAATACATGTATAACTGTCTTATTTTATACTATATATATATAATATAATGTAAAATAAGACAGTTATAAGATAATAATAAAATCTTTAATTTGATTGCAATGCTAGAGTATTATATATAGAGGGCTTGTAATAGCTTTTGTTGAGAGCATAATACTATTTATACAAGTCATAATATAATAATATCTGAACCGATAAAATATCCGTTATGTAAATATCATAAGTACTCCATATCATACACCCCTCAATATTCGTGGGTTGTTTGTGCTACCAGCTATTTAATTTTGAAATTCTTTACTTTATATATTTTCTTGTTGAATAGTATTACTATTAATTTGGCAAGGACCTCCTGATTATAATATGACCGCTTTTGCGATTCGGATACCGTAAATAAATGTTAGTTGTTTGTGATAGGTTAATTATGTTGATTTGAATTCGGGACGGGAACCGATATTTATCGTTAACGCAAATTATTTAGCACTACCATTCCAAAGCGGTTTATAACGGCAATGATTAGAGTGCGGTTTGTATTCCATTTGACTTACTGACCTCGGCCAACCGGCAATATCCACTTGCAGTCTACTACGCACGTATTTGTGTTTGTTCGACGGTTTGAGCTACGACAGGACTACAATCGAAAAACAAATACGAAGACCATTATACTTGTTTCGAGACTAGTGAAAACCGAATATATTTAATATTTATAAGCTCACGCACTCGGAATTTTCAATTTCTTTAATAATACCAACTCGAAAGTCGATATTTTCCAATCGATAGTATCTGTATAATCGTATACATACAAACGGGTGTGTTTAGAAAGTTCAAAAACCCTTGGTGTCTGCAGGTGTATATGATTTCATATGATTAAGTGCTTAAAGTAACGTAAACTGTAGCGTATTAATATTTTTATGTATGTAATCCTCACTCGGACGCACCGCACAATTTGATTACTGTCACGTCTAACCTTTTGATGATTGTCATTGATGACAATGGTAATTTTTTTGACGTTGTATTTGATACTGCACCACGTAGGTACACCATTTGCTGATAATCATTATTCCGATGCAAAAAGACCTTTATTGACGGGCGGCTACATTTAGAAATACAAATTGTGCAAGAGTATCCGCTGTACGGAAGGTATTGTGCACAATTATTATAGCCGGATAGGATTTTCAGAATACGTGTTGTACTATTACATATAATATTATTATATATCCGTGAATGGAGGATTCGCTGTTTTACATTTAAATATACATAATATACACACCACATGTGTATGTGTTACATGAAAGTTTGCCAGTGCTCATAGATAAATGACAACATATACGTTACTACATCACTATTTAAACAGAAAAATATTTACGTCAGAACCTTACTTTGTTATATGTCCATTAATTTTGCCTATAAACCGTACATATTTTTTATTTTATTTACTTATTTATCGAACAGGCGCGATGTCGGTATGCCTCTCATAGCTATGTGTTTGGTCAAATTGTCTTGGACAACAACTTCAGCTTATGTATACATAATATAGTATACAAATAATTACGTATTCGTATAAGTAATTCGATCCGACGGTCTACTTTCTCCCCAGCAATCATCTAGAATTTTCTACGAAGTATTTGGTTTTAATATTTCCTCGCCGCACATTAAACGACAAACATAGTGTACATAAAATATACCATCAAAGTACACTCGGTTTGGGTTATTTCTGATTTCACATTATTGTTGTTGCTTCAAACTGGTTAAAGAACAAAAAAAAAATTGTTCATACGTGTAAGGTCACTTACTTTCGAACGTTCCGATTATCGAAACATAATGTGATTTCATTGTGATGTGATGAAAACTTCGTAATAAACTCAACGTTGACGTAAACATTTGGGCGTTGAGTGCCCGGGACGATTTTAGATTATTCGGTTCAAGACGAGGGTAATTCTCTGCGTACTACAATTCGTTATATTATAATATGTATCCGTCAAACGGTTGTTTTTTTCTTGTTTTTCTGTCGTTCTTAAATCGCTTCTTATTTTTTATTCTATCTCTTTTTTTCTCTTCCTCTTAGCCTGCTTCTCTCTCAAATTCGACCGACGGAATGCGCGCGCGATTTTATATTTTTTTTCAAACGTCTTGTAAGTGTCTATAATATGAATAATATCTACGTTTTGTTTGCGTGCTCGTCCAGCTTTCTATTATTACGCTCAGCAAATAAAAAACCCGAGCAAATCGTTAAGTGCTGTGCCTAATGACGGTTGGTTGATAATTCGCTAGAAAAATTTGCAGGTCGTGATTATTAGATGACGGTCCGTGTGCTAACGGACTTCCTCCTTCCGCGGTTTTATGCATAATAATATAATATGTAAACGTGGACAAAAAAAAAAAAATAAATATTATCTCGTTTATGTAATAGGTACAATATATAATGGCCGAGCGTAAAAGCGCGTTGTTGGCGTCATGAAATTAACGTATGACGCTGATCGTCGTTGTCATCACGACTCGTGATTCATTTGTATCGCAGTGATAGTGAGTAATAAATTAAACGAATAATAATAAGCAACCAACGTGTTCCGCAGGATTTCCGTATTATATATTATATTATACAATTTCGCTAGTGATAATATACAATACTGTTTAATAATTTTAACTGTTTTACATAACGAAAACGAAATCACTGGTAAAAGGTTCAACTTTTTGAATGGACACAAATTAGGGCATGCACGAAATGCTTTCGAATCTATTTAGTCGTTTTCTAGTTGGTATTATGATGTGCCCGAAAGCAGTGGTGTATTATGTTTATATTCGTTACTGTTATATGTTTGTAGGGAGTTGTTTGTTATTTAAATTTTATCCTTTGTAACCATACCATTGTGCATGAAGTAGTTTACTTATACACGTATTATATTATCCGAATGATTTTCACGACACTGTTAAAATATTAGGTTTTTGTTGTCATTTGACTATTTTGCACTTTTTATCTCGTTAAGAAAAAACAAAGAATAAGCATACATACTATATAGTTCTATATACATACTAGACCTTTTCATCAGTGATCGTTGATGTGTTGAAAAATGAGCATTAAAAAATTTGAATTTTATACCTATTCCTAAGAGTTTTGAATTTATCGCTATTAACACTCTAGTCATCCAAAATAAATCTAATTAAATAAATACTATTAACATTGTAAATTATCGTTTCTAAAATTTGTATTTACTATCAATTTAAGTTTTAAAAATCACGAAACATTTGTAAACAAAACCTAAGCAATTAAGAAGCCGCGTTAAAATGAAGCGTGGTCATCGCAGATCAGTTACTAGTTTTTACTAGCAATTTGTGTTTTTCGAGTAACAAGTAGACGGTATATTTATTCGTGTTGATTGCATTAAACCTAATTCTTATAATATTATTAAAGAATTTAATTGAAAATCAAAATCAAAGATCTTATTCGTCCTCTATGTTATTGTATATCAATAGCTGATGGTTTTTTTTTCTTTTCCAGCCAAGAAAAAAGTGAAAAAGCTACTGGTCCCGTTGTTGATCGTGTTGAAACTGTTCAAGTTGAAGCTGTTGCTTTTCTTGCCACTCATTCTGGGTCTGGCATCGTTCAAGAAAGTGTTGGGTTTCCTGGCGCTAGTCGTGCCCGGCCTCATCGGGTTCTTCAAACTGTGCAAGCCCGACCTGCAGCACAACTACGGCACGTTCGGCCACAGTAGCTACTACCACAGACCGTCACACGGCAGTAGCGGGCCTCCACCACCGGGGCCTGTGTACACACCGTACCGCGAACACCAGGAACCACAGTTATCCCCGTGGCGCGAACAACAGGACCCGCAGCAGTACCTATACGAGTCACAGGACGCTCAGCCGTCGTACGGACAGCCGTATAACAACCGGCCGGTCCGGAATCAGCCGGACGTCCAGCAAGAGGCGGCACCACCGTTGCCGGTTAACAGCTTCCGACCATCTTCCGGTTCTGTTTCCTTCAAGGACGATGCCAACGACATGGCGTACAGTGCCTACAACCGGCAACAGTAAACGAACAACACCATATACGGACGATTGTAGTGCATGACGACAGATTTGTCGGTCCGCATCGTCGAGATCGCACCGTCGTTTGACGCGACTTTGTCGTTTTTCGATTGCTCAACTTCCTCCGCAGTCTCCTACTCCTGTTTCTCTTTCTCTCTCTCTCTCTCTATATATATATATATATATATATACATATGTACATCCTTCAGTTTTTCTTCCCCCGTTTACATCTTCCCTTTTCTATACAACACACAGGCGCACACCTCACATAACATCAGTATGTTAATTATTCATCTAAATCGTTATTTGTCATAACAGTGTTATATGTCGATCCGTTTTCGATTCATTAGCTAAATTGATTGCATAAAATCCTAATCGTTTCAATCGTCATTATTCAAAACAAGCACGAAAACATCAATAATAATATGACGTGCTCGATCGGATTTTTAGATGAATCGATTCACGTCGATATCCACGTGTTTAGCGTAAGCAATTTTAAAATTTGTCTACGCTCAGTTCCTTATAACCCCACATGGATTAAATCGTTTTTAATAGCGGCAAACATTTTTAATGTTAATAGTACATAAGTTTAACATAAAATTATATATAGAATCATATTTATTTTTGTTTAAACCCCCATATAACGGGTGATTTTTACCTATCATTAACACAATTTTGTATTATGTTGTAAATATATATATATTATTATTATAATTATTTAAAAATATCGAAATTGTCTGAAAATATATTTTTATTATTAAAACACCTCTAGATTTAAGTATATCATAGGAATGAAAGAAATAGTTTATGGCTATAAAATAGAAATGTACACAAGGTATAATAGATAATTAATTGAAATTAATAGCTTTACTCTACACTTAGGTAATACCTCTCATTGTAAAATAATAAGCATTTTAATACGACACTGCAGATCACGCAGTTATAATTTACAAGGAGTTCAGTATAGGCAATTTAAATGAAATTAAAAAATATCTGAATCCAATGATTACTGTCCAAGAGATTTTTATAGAAGACGTGCACAAATTCATTTTTATCAGTAATACTTCCATCTTTTGCACTTGTAATAGTATGGTATAATGTATATTATTAAATTAGTTAGTTAAACTCGAGTACTTATCAATAATATTCTATCGAAGACTTTTTTTTAAATTTTTAAATGCATTTTTTCTCGATGTACGTTTGATTTTAGAAAATAGCCAACTAAAATAACTGAATCTAACTGAATGTAAAAAAATTATCAAACATTTTCGGTATAGGATTATAATTATATTTTCAATCTATTATTGACGGGACATTTTCGAATATTTTACCTGCCTATTTGAAGCATTGAACTAAATAAAATTCGACGTTAATTAAATATTATGTGTTGTTTTTTTTTAAGAAAAAAAAATTGAACGATCTGCTTTTATTTTTCAGTTATTTGATTTAGTAATGTTATCACGAACTTAAGTTGTTTTTGAAATTGAACATACTGTTAAAGAACAAAATATTCTTCATTTATGTTCGTTAAATTGGTGATAAAATCAAATACGAGTAAAAGTTAATATTTATTATAATTATTTAACAGTTGAATGTAATAATAATATGTTCATATTTTAGTAATAGAAGTACTAATATTTTATCTGTATTTACGAATATAAATTTAAAATACCACTCAATCGCTGACTGATCAGTATAAAGCCAAAACTACCATACTGATACGTTTGAAATATTGAGAAAATGTACTAATTTTTATTATTTGGTACACTAATGAATAGATGGATTTCAATTTTGAGTAATCTAAGAAATATTTTGTTTTGTTTAGTACATAATTGAATAATTATTGATTAAGGTTAGTAGTATAAATAAATATCATCAAAGAATACGATATTATTTATTACGATTCCGTTTTTTTCAAGCTAAATTATTTTTTCTGTCGAAGAAGTAATTATTCTAATCTAAAATATATTGAAAACATATCCCGGGCGAGGCCGAATTATTCAGCTAGTTTAATAATATATTTAAGCATAGAAGTTACGTATCTTATTAAATTTAGCCTAGGTGCTAATCTTTGGTAAGCACACGTACATGATGTTTTCGCACTTGCTTATTGGTGTGTCGATGACGCACGAAATGTGTACATGTTCAACAGTTTTAATCCGTTGTCTCGAAATCCTCTCGAATTCCCTACGTTATTTCTCAAACATTGTACTGCGTCGTCGCAGATTTAAAGAAAAAGAAATTTGTTTAAAAATTCAAATGGAACTTGACACGTTCATGAGAGATTATTGTACACTCGCATTTAGTCTACCGCCCGTGCTACGGATGTATCAATCGTACCGACACTAGTCTCGGTGACAAACCCTATTCATGGTCGCTCAGTTTTATAATATAACGATGACGTGTACATTTTGTCTGCGAGACGAAGCCGTTGCGGCGGAGTGTGGAGAACGTCTCCTCGGCTGAAACGTTTCCGGGAACGCACTTAGCTTTGCTTTGCTGGTGTAAAATTGCGGTAATAACCTGCTGGGTGACTATTTCGTTATAACTGTTTTTTTATTTTTTTCCAATCCAAAAATCATTAACTTGACTGAAAAAAGCTGCATTTACGGTTGAATGTTTTTATTTCATGGTCATTTTGCCAGTAAATTTGTTCTCTAGTGGATAATGTGAATAATATGTATGAGATTTAAAAAAAAAAATAATAATAATAATAATACTAATATTATTGAATTACTACAATACAATAATTCTTTTTTAAAATATCTATAAATACATTTATAAGAACTATCGTATCGGTTTCAATTATTATCTACTCTTGCATTAGATTGTATTCAGGTGCAAGTTGAACGTTTAATCGAACCCCAACACGTTGGAGTCCGGGGCATAACACTTTAATTTATACTACCTTTAACATTTCGCTACTCGTGTCATTGATTAATACATATTCTTATTACAATTTATCGTCATTATACCATCAGCAGTCAAAGGAAAAGGAAGAAAAAACACACGCATACACACAAAAACCGGTAGTTGTAATGTACAGAAAAATATAGTTTTATTACACGGACGAACGGCAAATGTGTGGAGGACTAAGAAGGGTGGGAGGTTTAGATAAATAAATAAACAAACAAATAAATAAATAAATAAACTAAACGAATAAATAAAAAATCATACAAACACATAAATAAAGAACACGCGTCGTAGGGAAAGAATGAAATACCAGTAAACGGCGTCGGGTTCTTACGACGCGATGACGACGGTGTCGAAGCGGTCAGCATGCGCAGTGTCGCGTCAAGTGTTGTTGGTCGGTATGTAGGCGATCGGCGACAACGGGTACGACATGTGACCGACGGTGGCCTCGTCGTCCGCGTCCTCGTCGCCGGTCAAGCTGGAAGCGGGACGACCGGGGCCGGACGGGCTGTCGTCGGACGACGACGACGACGACGACGACGACGACGAGTGGACGGCTGCGGCCGGTGCGGCGTGCACGACGGTCACGCGATGTGGTGGTTGGTCGACGTGTACGTGGCCCTGCAAGTGGTACGCGGCGCCGCCCTCGTCCATGGTCAGGTGACGGGCGTAGCTGTACGGCGCGGACGAGTACGAGGCCCCGTGCACCAAGTGATCGTGGTCGTAGATGGCCGGCTTGGTGATGATCTCGTAGTGCGACGTCTTGCCGTAGCCGCCGCCGCCGCCGCCGCCGCCGCCTTGGCCCTTGAGCGCGCACACGGCCGCCAGCACCAGCGCGAGCATGGCCGTCATCAGCGCCTTGCCGGACATGGCGGCCAGCGCCGCGAACGCGATAGCCGCCAGCGTGCCGGCCGACCACAGGGCCGCATGCATCCCGTTCTTTTTGCCCCGTCCTGTGGCAACAACAAAGCACACGCAGGGATTGTCAAGTAATTGCAATACTTATTGGTGCCGTTGAGTTATTACTGGTTCGCAGTGGCGGAACTACTAGGCTCGTGGATACGATTTTTCTTTTTGGGAGGCCCTATGTAATCCAACTTTCTAAATGTCGAAATATTTGTTTGTATACGATAAAAATTAAAAATAAAATAAATATTCGTAGTTAGTTAATAATTTTATAAATTATCATTACAACATCAATAATAATAATAATAATAATATTAATTTTGTAATTACGACAAATGATAATGATTTTTTTCTATTAGGATCTTGAACTAACGTCTTCACAAACTACGAAAAATTCAATTTTTTTTAGAACCCACATTTTCCATCGAAATCATCGCAAGAACATTTTAGACCTAATTTTTAATTCATTTAAATGTTAAGAATTTCCTTTCGGAATATGCTACACTAACCGTTAATGTAAAAAACAAGTAAAATGCTGTACTGTTATAATGCATTTTTCACATTTATTAATAATAATTTAAATGCCATCATGTTGACATCGGATAATCCGTATACTCGTTCAGTAATCACTTATCAGTATACTTTGTATTATTTTGATATTCCATGATTTTATTTACTAGAACTGAAATTTTTTTAAACGGTATAAGATTTTACTGCAATTTTTTTTTAACAATGAAGCGAAAATTTTTCTAAATTCTTGTATTTTTAATATCTAAAGAAACATTTTTGATAATTGAGTTCCGTTTTACATAAATTATTCGACGTGTTAAAAATAACGGATGATGGTAAATTTAGTAAATTAGTAGTGGCTTGTGTTTGTTTATTTTGAGTTTAGACAAGTATACAAAACGATTAGTGTAATGGTCTTGAGACTAAATTTATTAGATATTTGTTTTTCTTTGCTTTTAAATATGAAACAATGTTATATTTGTTACGCTATAATATAGTGTAACAGATATACTATTGATATTAAAATGTACAATTCAAATATTTAACACTCTTAATCTTCTCAAGTATGTTTATTTATTATTCTGATAGTTCTTAACACAGCAGTTAACTATTTAAAAATTAATATTAAAGTTAGAGATTTTAGTAAATTTCATAATGTAATTAGGTATTTATTTTTTTTTTTTTTTTTGTTTTATGACATAGGTATTGAGATTGGGAATTTATTGTTGTCAACAGTTCAATGTTTTATTGAGCTAGTTCAAATCGGTTTGGTCAAGAGCGTGTTTCATGACCGCTTTGATACGGCTATGTATATGAACTACCTATAAATACAGTGCCTACAATTATTTACTATCGCACGTATTTTGAGAAAAAAAAGTATTATTTCAAAGAGTTATTGGGTACGTGACAGATCGAATGTCCATTATTATATTTTGATGAAAACGAGAAACGCTCTATGATATGGAAAAAAATCGCGTTAAAAACGCGTAGCTGTGCATAGACCAATCGATTCATAGAAACCACGTTCGGCGACCGATCGTAATGTAATGGAAAGAGAAAAGAAACGATTGATTTACAATGAAATCAATAGCACGCGTAGTAATTGTAATTATCGCGAATCGCACACTGCGTAGCTGTTACGATTAAAATATTTCAATTAGTTACCGGTCTCCAGCAGGCCGCTGGGCAGTATGTTGACCAGCATTTGGCTGCTGAGCTTGCGCACGTTCTCCACGACGGCCGAGTCGACCAGCTTGACGCTGATGGACAGGGAATTGAGGTACGCGTCGACTTTTTCCATCAGATACCCGTCCAGCTCTTCGGCGGACTCGTTGCCCCGGACCAGCGACCTAATCACGTCCGGCGGTATACCGATACTACGGCTCTGTTGCTGCTGTTGCTGCTGCTGCTGCTGGTTGTGGTTACCGTCCGCCTGCGCCCTGATCAGTGACACCCCCGGTACTAGTTGATAGGCTCTAGCCGTTCCCAGTCGGTCGATCAGCCGCACCAAGTCCAGTTTCAGGCAGGTCATCGTGTACCGATGCAGACATTTCTTCGTCAGCACCTGTTGCGTAATACATACACACGCGTCATTCGCGTCACTATTGCCTTCCGACAAAGATGGAATGCTTATTGTAAGAATCGAATGAAAAACTCGTAAACATACAAGCATTGTACACATTATAATTAGGGAACGGATTTGAATGGAAATCGTATTTTACTAAATGTCCGAAAACATTTCTTTCTAAGCACAAAGTTCATTTCATACACCAAGGAATTAAAAAGTAACTTTAATTTTGCATTTTGTTTGCATTTCAAAGACTTTTTTTTATATTTTAGTGCATTTTCATTTTTCTTAGTCATTTCCATATAAGATTGGATAGAATTTGATAAAAGTTTGGTTGAATTGATTGTATTCATATATTGAAATTCTTATCAAACACAAGGTAAAAGTATAACGAATGAATTTATCTAAATTGTATATTAGTATATTCATTTCTTGGAAATAATTTTCAAGGTAAAAGGTAGAAGATGACAAATAATTAATAAGAATAAAAATTGATAAAATAATTTTCATAGCACTTTTTTAGTGTTTTTTTAAAAAAATTTATGAGTGCACTAAATCGTGTTTTTTAAAGCATTTTTCTTGTTTTTTAGAGCATTTAAATCCGTTCCTTTCCTAGTTTTAATGTTAATAATGATACCACTTATTTATCGAGAGGCTTTCAACATTAGTCTACAACTATGGGGGGGGGGGGGTTATACTTTGATTTTCGTTCGCATGGAACAATTGGCCGGAGGCTGTAAAAACTTTTTACGATTTTGAAATTAAATCAAATTTATACTCTATACACACAGGATGATTTTTTCACTATGTTAAGAATACTATAGGAAAATTAATGTACTAAATGGTTGTATATATTTCTCAGTACACAGATTTATTGAATCTCTTAAGAAATATTCCATGGTACCTTCAACTTTTGTTTTTCAAAAGAAAACACTATATTTTTTCTTGAAATAATTATTTAGTAATTAGGAGCTCCGAAAGTAATGGTCAAAATATATATTGTCTATGTTGTAGCCAAAATTCCCGTATAAATATTAAATTAATTTAAGAAATCGCACAGTGCACGATATATAGGTGCATAGAGTATTACTGCATAAGCGTTTTGAGTTCAACTCAAAAACTAAAAACTTACTTAAACTCTACAAAAAAATCTTATTTCCAGTTTGAATTGGCAAAATTTAATAACAAATAATTAATTTTCAAAATATATTAAATTTTGAATCAAATCATGGGAAGTGGTTACAAATTTCAAGCTTTCTTTCAGATGTGCACATAGGACACACACAAACACTCGTATACTTGTGTAACGTATTCTTTGCATTTGGTAGACGATGATTGTGAGTTTCTATCAGTCTTAAAATAAATAATGATGTATAACGAACACGTTGAAAACTCTGTGATCGGTGGTCTATGGCGAAACGGAAAAGTATGCACCGTTGAAAGATGTTTGCAAGTGGATTAGAGATTTTCCCGTACACGTTTTTTTTTTTTTATGTACTCAGAGCATCTACTCGTGTACAGCAAATACAGATAAGTCTGCATACATTGATGAGTCGTAAAATTAATGATTTTCCAAGAAATCTGCGCTACGTACTATATTATAGTGGTAATCGATGTTCTCTTTGATGTGACCGTTCGTAAAAAATCTTTGTACACGCACACGGGTTAGTCTATTGCAATGGTGATAAATGAATTAATTGATATTACAGTGATAGCGTGGAAAAAATTAGATGGCGTATCTGTGCGGTACCGTGACCAAAGAAGACGGGGGGGGGGACACGAGAAAACAAATAATTATCCTAGATCCTCATCTGCCCACATGAAAAAGAAACGGGTGGTGTAATTTACATTTTTTTTTTCGAATTATTCCAAATCCAAAATCAATTGAAAGCGATATGTTCACTTCTCAGTAAGCACATGTTGATATATTGGACCAGCAAAATTTAGATTTTCTTTCAGAGTGATTGAAATTACGTCGTTCTATAAGTGATGTACCGATTTTTATACAAAAATTATTATCGATCTATAAAGTGGATATTATATACTTTTTTATTTTCTTAGACAAAGATAATTACTACAATTACGCAGTTAAAAGCGAAAAAAAATAATAGTGTCCGGTAAATACAAAATCTGGTCGTTATAATAAATAATAAAATTAATTCGATTTGTGTGGATAAAAGAGAAAACCATACTCTTCATTACTTAAGCGATTACACCTATAACCTGTTGACCATATCGCGGATACAAGTAAAATATTATAATATATGGTTATTTTTAGGGCTCGGATTTATATGTACTTACATATTTTACTGTGACTTAATAAACTAATTTAAGTAAGTGATACATTTGTGTTGAGTGATTTTAAATAAAATTAACTATATTTCATTTTACATATTTTCCTACATATTTAGGTAATTATATATATTTTTTTTTATTAAATTTGTTAATAATAACATATGAACACGATGAACTTTTTATAATATACATTTTCCGTATTTCCAAAAGTACGTAAACAAAATAATATTAATCATTGAACTTAATCTATAGTCAATACAGGTTCGAGTTCCGATTAACGATAAACGATTGATTGTTATTTATTATTTTATTAATAATAACGCGTTTGCGTTCCAAGTATTGAAGAGTTAGTATACCTACGCTAACGCACATGTCAGAGGAAATAGTTGAACAACTTGAAACTTCAAAAATGACTTTAGTTCAATAGTTCAAAGTTTAGGACTCATAGAAGAATCTGTAAAATTTATAAAACGTATAGAAGTACCAGGACCATTGGGAGTGATAGTAGAAAAAAAAATGCACATTGTATTAAATTAAAATCCTGGTTTAAACTGCCTTAAATTAATTAGAAACATCTAATGGTACATAAATGAGATAATACTGTGGATTGAGCTCACTCCTTTGGTCATTGCAAGTATTAAATATATACCGATTACATCATTTGAAGTTGAGCGTTCTTTTAGTCGGTACAAATCAGTTTTACGGCCAAATCGTAAAACACTCAGCTTTAACAGTTTGAGTATTTCATTGCTATCAAGATCAACTAAGGTTTAACTTCATAATAATTTCGGTTCGATTGTTTTAATTTTTTGTCATGGATAAATAAAGGTGTAGTTTTATTTGTAATTTTTTTTTATAAACTTTCATATTTTAATTTTTTATCGCATATAAAGTGATTTTTTTTATTACCTATATATAAACCCGATCCCTAGTTATTATTATCAAATTATTTTATTAAGAATTGAATCAAGATTTTCAACCAAATTCTTACGTATCATCACTTTATATTTTTAGGAACACTATATGTTTTAGCCTTTTAATTGTGGACGACGCTGTTTTAATGAAAATGAAATACAGAACAACAATAGTGATTCGAATTTCGATATGCGGAAGATGACCATTTATTAAACGGCGGAAATCAGAATGTACTCGTTGTACAATTCGAGATTATTTATTACTCGTAGGGATGGATTCGGATGAAATATCGTCAGGAACCAACGGTCTTAAGTCAGTATCGTATGCACGTAATTCTCGAAACATCACCATTTCGGACGGTAAAACCGTGTTCCGTGTTTGACGTATAAAACCGGACCGTGAACGTATCCCGAAACGATTTAGTGCAACCGGATCAGTCGTATGAAGGGATGTTTCGCGAACTGTTCCGCGACGTGCAATGTTCGTCGTAAAAACGTTGGGACGTAACCGACGAATCGCTTAAGTGCAAGATCACCGTAACATAGCGGGTACGTTATGCGTTTTGGTTGTGGTCGTGACCACGATCACCAGCCGAAGAACACGTATTCGCACGCACCCGCCGGTCGAAGTGTTCGCCCGGCGTTCGGGGCGGGAAACGAATAGAAAAAAAAAAAAACCAATTACCTGTTTGAGGAGCTCCATGTTGGCCGTGTCGTCGTTCCTGGCGTGGTGTTGCGCGGCCGCGATGGACGGCGGCACCGGTAGCTGTTGCGCGCCGACCACCTGTTCGGTGGGCGATTGTTCCGCGCCGCCGTGCGCCGCCGCTGCCGTCGCCTTCAGCGAACACATCGCGCACAAAGCGACCACGATGGACGCGCCCACCCGTTTACGCGACGCGCACATGTTGGCCGTGCGGTTGACGTGCGACGATACGCTACTGCTGTTATGGTTTCGGGTGTGCACCGCGGGTACGGTAACGAAGCGACGACGATATGATTATAAATCGTGTTATCGGAACGGAATAAATCCACAAACTGGGACCGTTCGTTGGCGCACGGGTAGTTTTTATACAGCCGCGTAACGAAACGATTATCGCGACGGTGGAAGAGTGTGCATACAATATGTGCGCGCACGAGCGCGCGTGCGGCGATTGACGGACACAGGCACGGAGAGAGAGAGAGAGAGAGAGAGAGAGAGAGAGAGAGAGAGAGAGAGAGTAAAGGAATGAGAAAACGAAAGAAAAAAAAAAGGAAAAACGGATAGCAATGGGGGTAAGAGAAAAAAAGAAAATTTGGGAAAAAAAAAACCGATGTTGGAAATCGCATTTCGTAGGTAAAAGTAAACGAGCCGGTGATTCGGCATAAACATTTTTTGATGTGTGTCAAGAGGGTATGGAACAGGAGATTTCGGCGCGGAAAATTATAATTATCACGGCCGCCGCGATTTCAATGGGCCTCGTGGCGTTTTTTTCCCTCCCAATCGCACGCAACCGCCGACGGTTTTTACAGGCCTTTTTATTTTATTTTTTTTTTCTCGTTGTTTTGTTTCGCTTCTGTTTTTACTCATTACGAATTCGCGTGCGCGCGCTCTGAGCACGTGCACGGCTGCAATGCCGTCGTGCAAAACCGGACCGGCCTGATTACGTTTTGTCCGATTCGCATTTATACATATATACATAAACGTGTGTCGCTGTGGCTTGCGTATGAAAATAATGCCAAACGCTTGTTTATCATTGTCTGGTCAAGCTTTGCCGGCGTTTCTGTTGTGTCTTTAATTTTCCGTAAAAAACGCGAATGCACACACACACACACACACACTCGTACACACGCACGTTTATAGCATTCGAAAAACACGTTTAATTATTTTCGGGCCATGACGAGTCCGATTTTCAAGTTTGCCGGGCGTACATGCTGGCCCAGTGAAAATAGCGTGCAATGGGGTACACGTTTAATGTAATGCGATATATCCGACCGGTACGAGTGCGCGGTCGAATACGCATTAACGGTGCTGTCCTGCGGAACGTTTCTCGCGCGCTTCCGCCGGATGCTGCCACAGCGCAGTCGATCCCAAGCACCCGCGCAGCAAGTGCACGCGCTCGTACGTGTCCGTATTGCTGTTGGTTTTTGACGAGAACGGATTTCAGCCGCGAAAACCCACCCTTCGGCGTTGAACAGTTGAAGTGTCTGCTGGACGAGAGGTCATCCGCGTCACATTCGTTCGATCGACGACCACCGGCCAGGACGAGGGTGACGGCTACGGGGACACCATGCAATACGCGTAATAGAAGTATAATTTGCGGACGGGGAAAGGAGGGGGAAAAAAAATCTAGCAATTAAAAGAAATAGGAAAAAAAAAAAACACAATCAAACGATTTTTACACGCGAAACGTTTCGTTCAAATCGCAGTGGCTCCGACGCCATTGTTTGACGCGGTTCGGCAAACGATTTTTCGCCGATTCACATGACATCAGCTCCTGAGGCACAGGTAGCGGATCACCCCGAATAATACGCAGCATTCAGTGCACAGCTATTGTCGGTCGTCAGTCATTAACCTCGTGCACATCCCGGCGACAACTAGTAGTCAACGTAGTCTGTCAGCTCCGTTCGTAGCCGTCCACCACGGTCGGTATCATGCACCCGTCGGCTTCGTTTCTGCCGCCGCTGTGTCTCGTCCTGTATCTGACCGGAAACGTCCTGGCAGCCGCGGATCAATCCGATCTCGGCCCGGCGTCCGACGAGAACTCCACGTTGACCACCAACCCGCAGGTACGGTACATATTTCATTATTAGTGCTCACAGGCATCCCGGTCAGGTCACAACTGTTGACCCGGCTCGGCTGAAACACCCCGGTTGTCGTGCGAGACTGAACGCGGTTTATGCGTTGTAGAAATGGGTAGAAACATGATCCCAACTGGAATAGAGAAAAAAAATTGATTCGTACCATCCGAGTCACTGGTGTGATTTATTATACTAATAGTTTATATTGTATAACGTACGGTAAAACTTTCTAAACTCAATCTAGGTACATGTCAATATTGTTTAAACGTTTAATTTGTGTTCAAATATTCATGTCTCATGAGAACCAAAAGAGAATAATACGTCCACGCGAGTTTTAATGTACGAACTTATTGATTTTCTTTGCAAACCATTAATTGCTTTAAACGTCAATGTATGGTTTTATTGTATTCTTTTAATTTCTACACATTTTATTTTCAATCAATTTGCTAATAACTTAGTTCATGTCACTATGATCAAATTAAACCTCTACTATTTACGAATTTAATTCTACGCGTTGATCGGAAAATTATTATTTTTTCATCTTAAAAGCAAATGGTTTTTTCCTGATTATCGGTATGTAGTTGCAAGTTACAAATATTTAGAAATATTTCTGTTGTTTTAGCTACCATCAAAAATAAAATATTTTAAAATAGTTACTTAAAATTAAAATAGTCTTAATAATAATTTGTAATTTGGTACTTCAATAGTATAATGAATTTCACAATTGTCGCTTGAGTTTGTATAATAGGTAGTTGGGGTATTCGTATTTTAATTTAAAAGCTCTGATATCCTATTTTTATTACAAAATTTTTCAAAATAAAGATCTGTTTACTTTTGAAAAATAATTTAAACAATTTGAGATCCATAGGTAAAATCAAAAATGTGAAATCTACGCATTTATTTATTAAAAACAATATTGAAACTATTACAGTCATGTAATATATATATATACACATTTCAAATTTCTTTGTAACTAATTAAATAGTATGGTAATAAATTAAATCTTTTTTTTTTTATTGAAAACGGATCAATCACCAGTGGCGGCACATACCATTGTGCACAATATCACGTGAACCAGTTAAAAAAATTATATATAAAAAATATTAGATTCTTATATTAAATTATAATTAGTTATTACACACATAGACTGTAACTAACAAAAATATTTATTAAAGAATAAAAATGTTTGGATCTTTTCGCGTTGAGAAGTTTGTCTATTAACGATTAAATAATTAGTGGAGCACACATTCGTTGTGAAAAAATTAGCTAAACGCGTAGAGACTTCGGTTAATAATACATAGCTTTATCTGGAGCTCAAACCATATGTGCACCGGACTTATTTTTATCATTCGGCGTATAGCATCGATGGTGGAAACAATATTTTGTGTTTATATTTCATACATAATTAATTATTTTTTTCGAATTGATTTTTATTTTACCGTGATGAAGAGCTTAGAGAGCTTAAGAAAATTAAATTTTGATAAGTACGTTATATGTACACCTACACCTATAACAAAATTCATTTTTTTTTATCCTCCGCCTATATAGATATCTTACAAATTTATTTGTGAATCATCTTACGTGAACCCTCACGAACCACTACTGACAAGCACCTCACTTGGACATAATATTATATCGATACATCGCATGCCATTTTTTTATAATAACATCAGTTTAACGACATCCATAATTCGATGGCCATTGTAAATTTTTTCATAAGTTTATGAAACCGGTTGAAGTTTGAAAAATCAGGTGATTTGTAGACATTTTAATAAGTTTGTTCGTCATCACCCAATAAGAGTGAAATAATATACGAAATTTGTTTTATTGATGTTTACATGGCGTAGTATTTATAGTTTTAACATAAATATTTTTGCATTTATAATATTTTGTAAATTTGAGCGTTTTTTTTGTCCGTAAAACCGATTAATACGATTCCGTTTCTGTAAAACCATTGATTGTTGTACAGCATGGTTGACCGATAATGAAAAATCATTTGATTAATTTTTTTTTTCTCTGCCCCATTTGTTTCTTACCTATAAGTCCTATTGTTGTGTGTCATTATTGAACTGCTGTTATGCCACGCGCTGAATAATAATGGCAACAAAAATCATATCATTGTATTACTATTGAATAATTGCGTTGGATAAACGTATCAGTTGCCGTAACCGATTACCGTCATAATATTAATATTTTTTATCAATAGTTATCTGCCATCATTCGGATATTCACATTAAAAAGTACTATTCGTACAAAAAGCACCTTGTGCTCCGTAAAAATGTTTTCCGGAAATACATATATAATAACACATTTTTACACAACAGAAAATATTAATTTTCCTCGGACTGAAGTCGTTCTTACGGTGTACAAAATAGACTCTCAGAACCGGTAATAATAAATTATAGTATATTAGAAATGATAAAAAACACAATTTGCCGACACCACAGACTCGTTTAATCGATATTAATTGGCACAGTTTTCATTTGACCTTATAGTGTATTGTTGAATTTCATAGAAAATACGAAACATCAAAATCGAGGGGAACAAAGTGCATATGCCACACCGAATTCATGATATTGTCGACTTCTTGAAATCATAAACTTCGTTGCCGAATTCACTTACGATAACTGTAAGGTCATAAAATTGCAGATCATACGAAATACATGAAAAAATCTGCCTAATTCATGAAAAAAGGCCATAAAAGGTTTCCAATTTCATGAACTCATTAGCTTTATTGTCGAATTCACGTATTCGGCAACGGTGTTGCTGATTTCATGACATCGACAATATTGCGAATTGAACGCACACACTCGTAAATCGACTGTAACGATCGTTTAATAGGAGTTGCGTGTAGGCAATTTCTCAATTTTTTGACAGTATCGTTGTTGGTTGTTGTTATTGTTGCTCAATATAGGTAACCAATATAGGTAATGTGATTAATTTCTATCTTGACTAAAAAAAATAAAAATACACATCTTTATGAAAGTATGTAGGTAATATTTCATTAATAAACTATTTATATTTATAGGTATTGCGTTCATATAAAACATCAGATCACTAATAAAGTATTTATATGCTTATCATTATATTTAATATAAATCTCAACCATAAAATTAACTCTATTGTTTCTTATTGAATTTCGTTCTAATTTTTTTTTTTAGCCATTTTCTTGGTATAACTTATGCTATTCTGGTGCTAAATATTTTATTAATATGATTATCATTTTTTATTATATTATTGCGTATAAATATGAAATTAATTATAATGTAAAACATGTAAAAATTTGACAATCTTATTGTATTTCACGTGCGTAACTATTTATTACCTACTTTATAATCGAAAACTTACTTCAAGATGTAATACGATTCGTTTTTTTAACAAAAAAAAATATTTTTGTACGATAATGGATTAGGCCTACAAATAGGAATCGATTTGGAAAATAGATAGAAGAACAGTATTTCGAAATCCTTATTTTTTGATTAACAATAAAATAATTTCTATTGCTCATTCTTTCTTTTTCTCTCACATTCACATATACATACACGGATACACTTTCATTGTGTATCTAATTAAGTTTATGGAAAAAAAAAAAAAACATCAGTCAGTGAATTAATGTAAAATATAATCTGTGTCGAGACTGAATAATGACTTGGACATTCCTATTTGCAATACTGTACCATTTTTTTTTCTTCTTTATATATTCAATACACTTTTAATATACTAATACATCTCGAATGGTATTTTTCGTAAATGGCCATACCACATTTGTTTATATTTCATGGAAACTGTAATGTGTAACATTCTTTAGCAAATATTATGGTTGATTGATGCTTTCAATCTTAGATCACTACTGGTTTTAGAATACCATATGTTTAGGATTTAATTCTCTATTCATATCAATGAAACTGAAATATCTTAATGGTAATAGATTTGAAATTTCAAGCTTGTTAGGTCCGGTAGTATTTTTTTCGTTAGATATTTCGTTCTTCGATGATTTTTCGTTTTGTTACATGGGATATTTTAAACTTTCAGTACACGGTTATTTGATTGAAATAAAATAATTATTGTAGATATTTTGATACTTTTTAGTCAAATATATTAAAGGAACGTTACTATATCTTAGCCTTACTTTGTGCACGATTTTCTGGGACTATTATATTCTTTTTGAAACAATACTAAATAGAATCAAATTATTTCATTGGAATTTATTAAGCCAATTAAACAAAACGTAATATATTAGGTACCTTATAATTTGTCATTTATACAGATTACTTATTTTTTTATTTTTTGACGGATCTTTTCCGTTATTCACTACCTCTCGATAAATGTTCTATTGCCCTAAAAACTGTATCTTATCTTATCTAATATAAATAAAATTAAACTGATAGACTTATGGTTAATGACTATTAACCCGAAACAGAAGGTATCTGGTTTTAATCTCTTATCACATAGGTTTCCAAAGTGTGCGCCGCGGCGCCCTAGTGTACCGCGATGTATGTATAAGGGTGTGCTGTGCCGTCATGAAATACTATCGGATCTAACATTTTTCTTATGATTAGTCATGTTATGACTTAGATAAGGGCGCCCTGAAAAAACCTTGAATCAAAAAGGGCGCCTTGAGTCGAAAAAGTTTGGGAAGCACTGTCTTATCGTAACAAAAATTGTTTGTATTTCTTTTTTCTTGAAAAATCGGAACTTTAATCTAAAAAATTTTAGGACTTACTTCGTTACGCCTCCCGGGTTTACACTGCAGTGTCACTGCGTTGCATTTTTCGGGGGGATGGGGCTTTTCCCCAAGGGGAATTATAGTCTAAGCCTAATCTTGTTTTTATACAAACCTTGATACTATTGCAAATGGGAACCTAAAACCTCGCTGCGCGATTATCACATATCACATAGACTACAAATACAAGGTATCTTATTATATCTAAACAATCATTTACAAAGTTATAATTTATTTTTACCGTGGATTGGTATAAAATTTCCTT